ACATTTCTTACTAATTAAAATGTTTAATCTGTTGGAGTGGGGGCCACAACACTAGAGAATCTTTTCAAATGAAAATTTTACTCTGTAGAACTCCTGTTTCCTTATTATTGTTTGTTTGGTTTTTGATTCTTTGGGTTTCTGGGGATTTTTTTTGGTTCTGGAAATTGAACACAGGACCTTCACACTGAACTACGTCCCCAGCAGCTAGCTAGCCTGCTTGTTTGCCTGCCTGCCTGCCAGTTCTCTCCCTCTCCCTCTCCCTCTCCCCTCTCTCCTGCTCCTCTCCCCTCCCCCTTCCCTCCCCTCCTCTTCTAGGTCTTGCTAGGTTACCCAGGTTGGGCTCAAACTTTACTATCTTCCTGGCTCAGTCTCCCAAAGAGCTCCTACAGGCATGTACCACCATGCCCTGCTCTATGTATAACTCTTAAATGATTAAGGGTATGCATATTTCTTTGGATCCATCTAACTTAGCCAGAGATTTGGGAGGGTTTTGCAAAATGGCTGCCTGCTAGCAACTGGAAGTGTGCTGAGTCCTGCAGCGGTCACGGTGAGCGTTGCTCGTGGACACCACCGCGTGACAGGCCGTGTGGGTCTCCTGTGTGTACTGGTGTGATGCTCCTTCCCTGTGCCCTGCTGCCATCCCCCAGGCTGGCTAATACACGTGTCCTGTCTGTCACCTTTCCAAGAGCCTCTTACAGGTTTAGAACTGGGGCTTCTCAGAATGACCTCTAATATACACGAGCCTGAGCCCCATGTTGGACACTTAATGAAGATCTCTAGGGATGGATTTTGAAAAATCCTCCAGAGTCATTCTATTCCTGTTTTCCAGCCCATACTCTAGAGGATGTGACATAGCCTCCAATTCAGTGTGTAGTAAGTACTTAACCAAATAAAGACAGAAAGAGAAGGAGGCCTGACACGTTGTCCACAAATTTGCACAAAGAACTTTGGAAATCACCTAATTCTGTCTCCTATTTACTGATGAGGCTACTAAGCCATCCAGAGAAGTCAATTGACTTTTCTAAGATAATACAGGTTGAGTAGCCTGATCTGAAATGCTTGGGACCAGAAGTGTTTTAGAATTTTGGTATTTTCAGATTTTGAAATATTTGCAAGTATGTAGCGATATCTTGGATATGGAACCCAAGTCTAAACATGAAATTCATTTATGTTTCATGTGTACCTTCCGCAATATGGGCTGAAGGTACTTTTATACATGTTCAGTGCATGTGTGTTTTGATTGGTCACATGAGGGCAGGTGTAGTACTTTCCACTTGTGGTATCATGTTGGTGCTCAAAATGTTTTGGATTTTGAAGCATTTCAGATTGAGATTTTTATGTTGGGAAAGCTCAGCTTGTGTAATGTATACAGGCCTGAGATCCCAATTGTGATTTTTTTTTTTTTAAACCTCAGGTCCCTTGTTTTCTTATTGTTCATTGAAAAATTTCCTTTCTTCCTTTTGTGGGCTATCTAATCCAGGGTGTTTTACTTGTCTCTAAAATGACTCTGTGTCCAAACACAGAAGGTGTACAGTGGGCCATTTGAGAAACATTCCTAATGTTCCATCTGCTAATCCTGGGAGGGAAAGGGTGGGATTTTTTTTTTTTTACGAATAAAATAATTACATTAACTTTTGTTAACCTGATAGTTCATGACTTTAATTTTGATTAACATAAAGCAACCTCTGAGATTAATTTTTATGTTAAAAAATTTAAATATATCTAAAGCTAGTTTTCTAGTTTTAGACTGTAACTCCTCTGGGTAATATATCTTTAAATTAGTTTGATTTGAAGCAAGGGATTTTTTTGCTTTCCAGAGGAAAGTGAGGTCTTAAAATAGCATCAGCATGTGCTTGACTATATAAAAACAGGAGTTTTATACACGTTGGCATTTTGGAAGCTCCATTTTATATTATGGAAAAAGTATTTGGTTAATGTTAGGGTTTTGTTTTTGTTTGTTTTAATGCCACTTGAGCCTAAAGACCTGCTAGTAGTGGTAGAAAGTTTTTCTGATGATTGTTGTTGGGTTTTTTAACTTACCTAGATGTTTTAATAACAGCTCTAAAACCTCCATCCTTGAGGAACAGGGTGTAGCATGTGATACAGTTCACTCCCCAGCACTTGTTAGCTCAGCCCTCTGAGCTCTGGTATCCTGGAGTGTTAAGCGTTGATAATATTAGCGGCACTTTCTCATGGAGTTACTGCAAAGATTTAACGAAATGGCAAATGTCAAAGGCTTCATATGATGCCTGCCACGTAATAGATGTTCAGTACTTAAAGCTAGCTAATACAGAGAAAACGCACTGGCTTTTACACAGAACACACGCTGTGTACCTGTTTTTTGCAAGGCAGATTATATCAGTCGGTGCCCAGTTATTAGCAGTGACAGAAGTTCCATTTTCTTGAGATTTTTCAGCTGACCAGATAAACCAAAATTGTTACTGTTCATTGTATATATCACATAATCATGTATTCAGGGAAATCGAAAAACTTTTCAAACTCAGTTTTATTTGTGAATGACTTAAGGCGCTGTTCTTTGGTGGGGGAGAGGGGGTGCTGGGGATGCGAGCTCCACCCTATCCCCAAGGCTTCTTTGGGCCCTGAGTTTGATCTCTTTGGGCCCTGAGTTTGATCTCTTTTATGTGTTGTTTTCATATGTGTATATATGTGTTTGTGCCATTTTGCCTTTCTTTCTTTTTTCTTTATGTTGTCAGACCTGCTGATTCCTGTCATTCTTAAAGACTAAAAACTAAAGACAGCCAACTAAATACCTTCTTTTCTCCATGCGACATACCTCTTTCCTACCTTCTACAGTCAAGCTGCTCAGAAGGATGTATTTTTGTTTTCTCAGCACCCATTCAGTCCTGAGTTCTCTGCAATCTAGTTTTACCTTTGTAGGAATACCCTAAAACTGCTCTGACAGGAGTTACCAGATCTAGTAGACAGTCAGTCTTACTTTCTGAGGACATTCGAGTTAGTTCATTATTTTCTTATTGAAACCCTCTTCGACTTGCAGCATATCGTTTCTCATTCCTTTAGCTTCTCTGGCTTCTTTTCTGTTGCTCACTGTTTAATTATTGGTATTCTGCAGGATTCCTTCATCTGCCTAAGGTGATTGCATCTACTTCAGCTTTCATAACAGTGTGGTTATTACTTCCAAATAATTGGTTGCCTTCACTTCCTCCCTCTCTTGAGTTTCCTTATTTCCGGTTAGGTACTATATGCCTCTGATCTGCCTTTGTTGCTACCCTTCCCCCAAAACTGTCTGATACCGCTGTGCTGTAGAGACATTCTGCATGGCTGTATATAATGATCTTATATATATCTGAGACCTTTATGACTCTACTTTGTTCCCAGATTGGCAAACATGACCCTTCATGATCCAGGTACTTGTGCTGTCCACCATTTCTATCCAGCCCTATCATTTGCCAATTCCTTGCTTGCATTCTGCATCCCGTGATCACTGACTTCCTGTAGTTCTTTGGGCACTGGGAGATGTTTCTGACTTCCCTCCGTGACTTGGCATATTTTTCTTTGCCTAACCTGTGGGCCTCTTCTCAACTGCTGCCTCTCTACCTCCCACACACAGCAGACAGCTCAGTTCTTCCTCTCTGCTGTTGGAATATTTTGTCTTATTTTACCCAGTGTTTTGAAATTCCTTGTCTACTTGTTAGCTTTCTCCCCCAGACCAGCCTACTAAAGGACAAAGGCATCTAAGGCATTTTAGCATGCTAGGTGCTCGGCCCCGTCTTTAGCATAGGTTAATAAATGGTCCACAATATTGTTCATGAAACAGGACTTTTACAGGGAGAAGCTTAATGCGGGACAGAATAGTCTTGTCAAAAACATCTTTTTTGGCCAGGGATTTAGTGCAGTGGTTCCGCCACCTGCCTCGCAAGCACAAGGACCTGAGTTCGATCCCCAGTACCAAAAAAAATCTTTTTTAAAAGTGGCATGTGGGAGAATGTAGACTGACTCTGTGTGAAATGATGAATGCAGAAGTGGACTGCCCGCTGGCCCTGCTGTAGGATGAACCCAATGAGAATGTGTGAAATGACAGTGCCCTCTGCCTTTGTCAAGAGTATGGAGCTAAGCAGCTTGATTTATAGTCCTGGCTTGGTTGATCAATTTGGATTCTTTCAGTTCTTGGCTTCTTTACCTTTTGACAGCAAAATGGTTTACACCATATTCATGGTATAAGAGCTCACAACTTTATTTTGCAGTGCTTAGGCAATGCATAGCATCAAAAGTGCTTAATAAATGTTTTTATCATTGAATCTGAATTATGTCAGGTAAAAGGCCGAAAACCAAGACCAGACCGGGCCACAACAAGCCCTTATCGGGAATAGATCTGCCGGGCTGTCTCTGAACAAAGGAGAGACAAAAGCAATATGGCCGGGGCAGGGGGAGTCTTTTATAGAGACTGGGGTGGGACTTGTAGGGGCTGAGGTGGGGTTGAGTGAGGTAGTGACTAGGGAGTGGAGGAGCCAGTGATGTCACTAGGTGGTAGGAGGTGAGCGAGTATTAGGTTACTTTCTAGGCGGGAACAGGGTCATGCTGGGAAGAAGGGTTTGTTCTTTGGTGGGAGCAGCCATCTTGGCATGACGTCACACAGGGGAGGGGGCAAGGCACCATAGGAAGAGGGCAGCTACTATACATAATAACTGCTGAGGTAGTGGGAGACCTATCAGATTAGTCCCTTTCTGGATCCTTTTAATAAAACCCAACTCATGTTAAATATTAGTAAGTATGATAGCTGGGTGTAGCGGTGCACACCTGTAATCCCGGCACTTGGGAGGCTGAGGCAGGAGGATTGCCATGCATTTTGAGGCCAGCCTGGGCTACACAGGGAGTTCAAGGCCAGCCTGAACTACAGAGCAAGACCTTGTCTCAAAAAACCAATAAATATATGCATATACATATGTACTAATATATATATATGTAAGTGTATACATAAAGTAACACAAGAAAAAATTCAGTCGCCTTTTTTCTCTCCAAAGATTTATCCACTGTACTGATGATTCTCCAGATCCTTGTATAGAATATGAGGTAAGAAACTTCTTTTTCCCTCAGTTACATTGATAATCCTAAATGAAGATGGGTTGAAAATTGCTATTTATTCATAAGATAAATGAATGAAATTTTGGATTAATTTCCCTGGGCGCTTAGAACCAAAAAGAATATATACACATACTTACAGAATATAACTGTTTATGATTAAAATAAAACCTTTGCATTTCCCACCCAGCTGAACTAGGTTAAAGTTTTTAATCCAGTATACCAGGAAAAATGGTCATTACCATTTTACCACTTTTGAAGTATTGTTCCTTCATCTTACAAATAACATATAAAAAAAGTAAAATTAGAAGTTAAAAGGCAATTTTATTACAAGTTTTAAGGATTTCAAACATACCAAACCCTGTTGTTATTCCATATCTTCCTTTTGAAAATGTACACACACACACACACACACACATCTGTGGAACATGCAGTGTTCTTGGGTACAGCTAACTCAGCTGCCATGAATGAACCTGGACACACTTTCTCCTAAATCTGGGTCCCGGGTTTCAACTACTCCCTTACTAAGTTCTCGCCATCTCACTTGCATGGTCAAAATACAATAATTTGTTTAAGAGAGAATAGCTGTATTTGCTCCATACTTCCAAAACGCTTCATTTTTTTAGCTTTATAATACCAATTAGAATTAGTAATTAAAAAAAGAATCTTTGCTTGCTCCTAGACACTTCTGTATATACACATGCTTTCAAAATCTGTCCCTTGGACCGGGGACGTAGCTCAGTAGTAGGGCACTTGCCTAGCATGGATGAGGCCCCTAGGTTCCAGCCCCAGCGCCACACACACAAAAATTGTCTCCTGACTGGCTGTACTGAATAATTTTTAGTGTGGTTAATATACATTGGCATATCTCCTGTAATTATCTAGTACATGTGAAACATTTAATTTACTATTAAAAATAATAGATCTTAGAGCAGTTGTAATCATAATTTTTATGTACCATTTGTGTTTTTTTCTCTTAATTCTGTAGTGTAAGTATTTCCAGTGTCATAGGTTTTTGTCGCATCATTTATACATTTATAATATATCCATACCTGGTCTTACTGAACACCTATCTATGAAGTACCTGCTGTGTCTTATCATGTACTTGGTTCTGGAAATGCCAAAGATTGTAAACCTTTCACTGAGGCTTAAAATTTGTTGAGATGGCATCATTTACATCCAAGATTTATTTAGCAGTGAGTTGTTCTTTTACTGCTTTTTTGGAAATGCACCATCATCATGGTGGTGCATAAAAGTTAGAACCTAGTTTTAAATCTGCAAAAGTGATATATACTGTAAGTACTTGCAGTGAAATATGTTGCAAGCAGAATTCTATGTATCATATGCTTCTGTGTGTGTGTGTTGTTTTTTTTTTTTTGGTACCTGGGATCGAACTTGGGACCTTGCACTTGCAAGACAGCCACCGGAACCACTGAGCTAAATCCCCGGTCTGACTGTATATTTTAAAAATATATCCACATGTGATATCCTTACATATTTATAGAATATCTGGAAAGACACAAGAAATTGATAGCACTAGTTGCCTCTGAGGAAGAAGACAAAAGGACTGATAAGGGAGAGAGATTCACCTTTTCCTGTTTTGTTTTTTAAAAAAGTAACTATAATATACTGTATATAATGTATAAAAATTATTTTGATAGAGTTTGCACATTTCCCAAAAAATTAGTGAGGTATAATTGTTTTATTAAATTGCTAAATAAAAACTACTGTAGCCATTTTATACACACACAACCTCATTACCTTTTTGGTAACTAAGTACTGTATGATATTTTAGTTTGGGATTCTTCATTTAATTATTTGATTTTTAAATTTTCAATTATTTAATTTTAAAATATGACATATAAAAGGCTTAACCAAGAGCCCAGTAATGAAATGGTGCATTTTACATTTCTAAGACATATTTCTAAAAAGTTTCCTTCTGATAAAACTTATTACCAAAAATTTAAAAGCAGAAGAAAATATAGGGAATGTATCACCCAGTTATATCCTCAGTATTAACAATGTGGTCTTAAATTTCCCCTTCTTGATTGTATGTATATGTGTATACTATAAATACCTTGCATACCATTTTGGAGCTTTTTAAAAATTACAATGTGACCATTTTCCTAGGTTATTTTCAATATATATTTTAGTGGCTGCTTATCTATGTATTTGCTGTTTTCCTTAATAAACATTACATTTGCATCTGCTGTATTTTACATACTTGTGCTGGTTGCAGAAGGATGAGTAAAACCCAGTTCCTTGCCCTTAGCTCACTTACAAGCTGGGAGGGAAGAGAGACAAATATCAGACTGTCGTGGTACTGTGTAACATGAGATGAGTTATGGACAGGGAAGGTGTGGAGGGCTGGGATATAGGGATCTCTGGCTTTTCCCTAGCAGGTGTAAGGCCTTGGGTTTAATTCTGAGTACTGAAGAAAAATAAAGGGAGGGAGGAAGCAAGAGAAGATACTGAGCCCTCCCCACAAATGTTTTCGGGGAATGATGCCTAGGGTAATTCCAGTTCTGACTCGCAGGTCTTGAAGGGCAGAGAGGCGTGTCCAGGATGAAGGAAGGCGGGGTTGCCAGCTGCTTTTCACCAGTTAAGGCTACAAAGGACTGGACTGGTTGGGCTGGGCATGGAGGAGTGCACCTGTAATCCCAGCTCCTCAGGAGACTGAAGCAGCAAGATTGCAGTTTTGAGCCCAAGCAATTTAGTGAAAGCATGTTTCAAAAATTTTGTTGTTGTTGTTGTGGTTTGTTTGTTTTACTGTTTTGAAGTTCAAGCTGGCCTTGAACTCACTATGTAGCCCAGGCTGGTCTTAAACTCAAGACGATCCTCCTGCCTCAACCTCCTAAGTGCTGGGATGTGTGCCACCATGCCCGGCTTCTGTCTCAAAATTTAAAAAATCAAATTTTAAAAACCAGAGGGGCGCTGGGGATGTAGGTCATTGTTTCCTGGAATCAGTTCCCTACACTGGGGAGAAAAAGGAGTAGGACTGATAATCTGCAAAGACGAAAATAGAAGAATACATTTGTCAAGTATAGTTTTCCTAAAGTTGTAACAATTCAGTATAAATGAAAGTTCATAATAATTTATTAATACTAATTGTGACCTGATCCCTGGTATAAATGGTTTACTGTAAAATAATACGAAAAACCATGGAAGAATTGATTATATGATTCTTCAAGATAATTAATAATTTTATCAGAGTTAGATTACCAAATAGTGCTTAAAGTGGATCACTTTGAGAGTTGTGTGTGTTGCCGTCGATCAAATCCAGGGCATGCATACAAGGCAAGTACATTACCACTGAGCTATAATCCCAGCTTTGAAATTTTTTTTTATATTAAAAAGTACAAAACATTACAGGGCCACATACGGCATAGTCACGGTAAGATTTTACTTAGTCATCCTCGGCACTCACTGTGTGCTGTGTTAGAGCTCTCAGAATGATGCGTAAATAGCAACGGTCCATTTCTGCCCTAAACGGTTTTAGCAGTTTCCCCTCTTTGGTAGAATAATGGATCACAGCTCTGTTCCCTAAATCTTGTGTTTGGATACTACATTGTTTTGAATCATTTTAATGGCAATCATTAAGAAATAATCTTGGCATGACATTGTCTGTTAGACCTTCTTGCATAGTTATGTTCCGTTCTTTTCCCTTGTCTACAGCTTGTTCTCAGAAAATGGTGTGAATTAATTCCTGGGGCTGAGTTCCGGTGTTTTGTCAAGGAAAACAAGCTTATCGGTGAGTTTACTCTTGAAAGTAATCTTAGAAGACAGCAGTACCATGGCCATAATTGTCAGGATTTCAATCTTTTTATGGCTGAATAGTATTCCATTGCGTAAATATACAAATTTGATCATTAGACATTGAATATATCTCAAAACATCATGCTGTACCCAAATATGTACAGTTATTACGTGTTAATTTAAAATAAAACCAAAGAAGACCAGCTTTTGATGGAATGCAGCGTCTAGCCTTAGGATAGGGTTATGAGTCAGTTTGCATCCGAGGTGCCCCTCCACCCAGCAGGTGCTGACTGGAGTATTAATGTTGGTGAGCGTCCTGAGCTCCTGTCACTCTCCACAGAAAGAGGTAGTTTTGTGAATTGTCGTGTCTGTCTGGGCTCGAGATGAAAGCGACGGTTATTGCCATCCCCAATTTGGCATACGTATAACAGTACTTGCTTTCTGTTTGAAACTTTGCAAGTATTGCTAGCAATGACTTGTAGCATCATGAAAATCCAAGCTTTTGAACCTTTATTTCTATTAGTAAGGCACTATTTATTTTTCTAGCAAAAGAAAGTATGTGGAAAAATGAGTTAGTTATTCTGTCACCCATTTTCTTTCCACTTGGGTTACTATTCTGTTTGCGGTGATTCATACAAGTTAAATACAGAAGATAATTTATTCTTAAACTTTTGTCTCTGCGTGTTTTCTGTGAAGTAAAACTTATCATTATTGATCAAGAAAAGTGTAATTTGAATTGATACAAATCCACAGTATTCATTGATGTGATGTTGATGTTTATTAACATAATTAAAAGAAACTTGGGGCAATTTAATTTTTCACTTTGTTAAATATTCCTGAAAAAACTGCTGTGTGTGCTGAAGAAGGGAGTTACACTGGCATACGAGTAAGGAAGTAGAGCTTCTATTTCAGAGCGGAGCCTTTCCTCTGGGTCTTGGGCATATTTGGGGAGTTCATTGAGTAGTCCCTTTAGTACATTTGGAATAATATCAGCAAGTCACTTTGAAACTGTTTACGTTTCCATCGCTTGAAAGAGCAGACTTGTGAAGCCAGAGTCACACATATAAATAAACAAGAAAACCAGCTTCTGTGACGTTCAGTACGACTATGGCAAGCATATGGTGAGGAATATTTTAAATTTCCCCCCAAAATGTGGAAAAGAACACCAATTTTTAGAGACTTTCTTGGAAAAATTAAAGCACCAGCAGTTGACTATATGTGCAAGTTTAAATTATTACTGTCATTTTTTACATAAGAAACCTTTTTATGACTGAATTCTTTCCAGTGTGCTAAATTTAAAAAAAAAGAACTATTTCTAAAAGTAAGGATGTATATAGTAATATGGAACTTCAGGATTCATCTATCCATATCAGGATTCATCTATCCATATAATCTTTACAAATGAGTAGTGTCTGATTAATCTTTTGACTTTAATAGTTTTCTTAAAAGTTCATAGCACATGTTTTTTTTTTTAAAGAATATTGTATAATAACAATATAAAATATTTTCTTGTCAGGCATTTCTCAGAGGGACTACACACAATACTATGATCATATTTCTAAACGAAAGGAAGAAATTTGCAGATGCATACAAGACTTTTTCAGGAAGCACATCCAGTATAAATTCTTAGATGAAGACTGTAAGTATTCTTGTTGACACATTGCAGTGAGATGAAGTGCATATGTAACTGAACCTGATTTTACATGGTGCATGGTTTAAATACTGGCTTTGAAGTGCTGTGTTACTAGTTGATGTTGCTGATGGTTTCCATATTAATTTCACCTTACTGAGTAGAACCCATTCTTCATGCCGAGGCACATCTTTGTCCTGTCGTTCTAGATGTTTGTATATTTTAGTGTCCATCTAGAGAACAGAGTGCACCTACCTTTCTAGCATCTGTGTTTGAATGGTAAAGGACAGCACTTACATAGTAAACCTTTGAAGTTGTTTTTAAGAATTGAAAGGTATGTAGTATATAAGAGAATTTTCATACATCTTAAAAATTATATCTGCTGTGATGTACTTTTTCTCTACTTGCCAAGACTCTTTGGCAAATTTGATTTTAAAAGTGTGACTCATGCCATCAGTGTAATTAGATTTCATGCTTTAGTGTTACAGATTTACTCCTTTCATTTTCCAAATAGTGGTGTGGTGTATGCTCCTGTCCCGAGTACTTTCCTCGGCGATAGCTTCATTCCAGGACAGCCAGTTACAATAATGGTGAATTGGCTGAGATAATGTTGGTGTTCTGTTTGAATTTTCAAATACAGAGGAATATTACAGTTGAGGATAGAGAAACAGAAGACAAAGTTACATTAAAAATCGGTGCAGAGTACTTTTTGATGTCTGAAGTTTTGAGATTTAGAAGCATTAAGTACTCATGGTCAGTTATATTCTGCTGTGTTTAGTAATAAAATGTACTTTAGTTTTCAGAATTTACATCCATGAAAATATTAGTTCACTAGTAACTGAGTTTTTTCTCCTTTGCAGTCGTATTTGATATATACAGAGACAGTAGGGTAAGTAAAAACTATATTTGATATGCTCTAAAATCAGGGCTGGCCTTGCAAGGCCAGTGCACAGCCATTGTGTGTAAGGGACGACTGCTCACAACACAAGTCCCCAAACCATCGAAGGTTTGTGAAATTCGCAATGGCCAGGAATCTCACCTTAAAGTACACGTAACATAGGAGACATGTCTGAAGTAACAATATACCACAAGTTGGGGGATTATTAATGGAACAGGTGGATAAATGACTCCCTACACCCTTCTTTACACTGTTATCAGGGGGTCTAGGGCCATTTCAAATAGTTCATTTTGCACACTTAAATGACCAGGAGTCTGATATTTTGGCTGTTATTTTTAGTCAACTAAAAGATTCTTAGCCTGATTTGAATCACTTTTTTCTTGCCACTAAACATAGAGTTAGTTTACATTTATTTTTTAAAACTGTTTCCTTAATTTAATTTTTAATTTCTATTTTAACTGAGCCATAAAAACATGAGAAGTGCACATTCATGGTGTACCTTGCGATATTTCAGTACGTATGTACATTGTGTGATGTTTACATCAGGGTAAGTGTATCTCCTGGAATATTTATCACTTCTTCAGAACCCTTTCTTGCGGTTCTCTGGACAGTCCACTGTCACTGCCTGTGTCGCCCTGCTGTCCAGTAGCGCAGCAGAGCCTCGGCACTCGGCGGCCAGCCCACTCAGCCCGCTCCCCAGCCTCAGGGACCTCCATTCTTCTCCCAACCCGGGCCTCACTCGCGTGAGAGCACAGGTGTTCTTCTTTCTGTGCCGGCCGGGCGTATCTCACTTGACAGTCTGGTGTCTGGCTCCACCTGCGTTACTCCCAGCAAGGGTCCCCTTCTTAGGGCTCAGTGGTCGTCGGCTGTGTGTGTACCCTGTTTGTTTTGTCCTCTCACCAGTTGACGGACCTTAGGTTGTTTTCATTTCTTGGCAACGGCGAGTAGTGCTGTAATGAACCTGGGAGTGCAGATGTCTCCTCGACATACTGATTTCATTGCTCTTGGATCTACACCCAGGCACGGGATGCCGGATCAGATGGTAGTTCTATTTTTAATTTTTTGAAGAAATTCCATACTGTTTTCCATAATAGCTGCACTAATCTCGGTTCCCACCAACAGTGCACAAGGTTTCCCTTTTCTCCATGTCCTCTCTAGCCTCTTTGTGTTTCTGTTGACAGCCATTCCGGCCGAGTGAGAGGATAGATCGCATGTCGTAGCTTTATCTACATGTCCCTAAATGTGATGTTGAGCATTTTTTCATGTATCTTTGGCTATTTGAATGACTTCTCTTTTTTTTTTTGGTACTGGGGATCGAACTTGGGACCTTGTGCTTGAGAGGCAGGCAGCAGGACCACTGATCTAAATCCCCCGCATGTGTGACTTCTTTTGAAAAATACCTAGCATTTAAAAAATCTTAAAAGTGATAAAAACTTATGTAATGAAAAGAAAAGAAAAAGCCAAGACACACAATCTTGTCAGAGAACGTTAAGTTGCTGAATGTCGGTCGCCCTGCGATTGCTGCTCACCGACTGAGCTGTTGAGAGGTGTAGGTTGTTTTCTAATACGTTGCTCCCCTGCTTGCCAGCCTCGCGGGGGTGATGTGCCAAGTCACCTGTGAGTCACTTTCTGAACCAAAAGGTATGGTCCAAAACAACGGCTACGTGTCGATTAAGTCAAAGACATCACTTTGTTTTCACTTTTCTGTCTTGGAGGATGATGGTTGCTATTAAGAGTTAGAAGGCTATAAAATGAGATTAGGCAAAGAGAAATAAAACTTGGCCAAGTTTCAGCTGTGTGGAAACATACCTCAGAAACGGATGGGAAGCTGGTATGATGGAATGGACAGATGCGCTTTTTATTGTAGTCAGCGGCTGCTCACTCACATCTCAGCGCACCACTCCCACAGCCAACGCTAATGGAGAGTCTCTGAGGTGCCAGACGCTCCGCTGAGCTTCAGGCAGGACCAGCGACCCGGAAGGAGTTTGTGTGTAGGGGAGGCAGAAGGCAATGGCCTGGGGCAGGCAGTATCAAGGCAGTTAGTGAGGGACTAGACCAACCCGCTGTCTCGAGTGTACCCATTTCTCAGAAGGGCTTTATTCTCCCTTAAGTCAGTCTCTTCAGCCCTGTAATCCTGTGAGGTATGTGCTGCCTGCCTGCCCACACTGTGCTGAAACTGAGGCGGCTGCTTTGTATGTTGGCAGTTGAGATGTTGGCATTTGCCAAGATGTCTCAGTACATCCCTGGAACGTGTAGCAATCTGTTGTAATTCAGTAGGGCCGACAGGTAGACGCAGATGTTTAACTTGTAAAGTTAAAGAATCTTTTACAGTGAAGTTGGACATGCACATAAATAATCACTGCCGTATAAACTTGCAGAACTGAAACTAGTTACATTTTTACAAGTGAGAAACATGCCAGTACAAACATCCTGACAGTTTCTGTTGAGAGATTTAAACCATATTGAAAAACTCATTTGCATTTACTCGGTGGCACTTGTATCAGAGTTTGTTAGTCACTTTCTTGGCTATGTTATTTTTTGGCTGTTCATGTAGAAAGCTCATTCTTCTCTTCTGTGTGGTCTCCTGCCTGAACTGTAGCTGAGTTGTGTCCACTCCCCTACTGTGGCTGGGCCGGCTGACGCTGTGTGCGCACCGCCCTGGCACCTCACCACGCGCCAGCCCAGGTGATGTGTCTGGTCCTCACCTTGGCATTGTTGAAATTAGTTTCACAGCTTGGCGTCTCTTCTATAATGTTCCGCGCGTGACTTAAAGTGCACTTTCTGATGTCTGAAGCGCTGTGTAGGTGTCTTTCCACTAACCTTGTTAAAGTCACCTACATTGTGTAGATGAATGATGGGTGAAGTTCCTTCAAAATAATGCACATTCAGGCAAGTGGACAGAACAAGACTGGCCAGGAACTGACTGTGGGACTGAGTAGGGAAGGGGCTGTTTATGCTGTTTCTCTGCTCTCTCTATGTTTAGGCTTTTCCACAGCCGGCTGTTGTTGTCTTGTTTGTCATTTGTTTTCTGTTTTGCCCTGCAGGGGAGGGACCTGGGGCTCACTGATGCCGCCACATGCTTTAACCTTCCCATGTTTAAAACTAAAAACTGAAAAAAAATGTCTTTCCTAATTTTCTGTCTACCAGTGTTGTTGGTTACTGAACAAGCTATGTTAAAATCTCTTGCTTTCTGATTCTGTTGTCTTTTGTACAAAGTGCCTTAAGGTTATGTTCTTGGAAAATGCTGGTAAAGTTGGTTTCGTTTTCTGGGTGAGTTCTCATCATAGCAAAGGGACCCTTTCCATTCCTGACAATAATACTGTACATTATTAAAGCGTATTTTGTCTAAATTATTATGAATATGGGGGCGGTTTCTTAGAGTTTATCTTTTTCCATCCTCTTATTTTTAGCTGCTGTGTTCTAAGTGTGTACATGTATCTTGTAAATAGCCCTTTTTCCCCTGTGTTTTGGAGACAGGATCTCCTTTTGTAACCCCGGGTGGCCTTGAACTCCAGATCCTCCTGCCCCAGCCTCCCGGGCTGGGATTTCGGGTGTGTGCCACCACCCCAGGCTACAGATAGCATTTTATTGGGTTTGTTTTTCTAATCACTAACAAGTTCAGGTTTTAACCAGTGAGTTTGGCTTATATTTATTGTATTTGATATTTTTTTTCCAAAACCTTTTGAGTTTCCTATTTGCTTCGGGTTTTTCCCCCTTTTATTTAGATTACTGAATATTCTCACTTCTTTCCATACCTCTCTCCCCGTGATTTTGATGTTTTATGTTATTTTGTTAGTCACCATTAAATCTTTTTTTTTTTTTTCCTCAGTACCAGGGATCAAACGCCAGACCTCGCACTTGCCAGGCAGGCACGGCACCACTGAGCTACATCCTGTAGTCACCATTAAATCTTAATGTGGATCTTTAATAAAAGTTAATTTCACTCCCATTTGCCCTCACAATATGAAGGCCTCAAAACACTAATTTCTACCACCCACTCTTGCCTCATGGGTGATTTGTGATGTTTTATTTCCACCTTGTTTCTCTCCCTCCAAATTAATTGTTATTGTTGATATTTAGGTGTTTTTGTTCACCAGTGCTTCATCCCTCTAGCTACTTTCTGGAACTGTTGCTTCATATTTTTTCTATTTTGCTTATTTTCCTTAAAATACAAGACTTCTTTATATATTACAAAAATTAAGCCTCTGTGATTAGTCTTTTGCCACAAAGAAAATCAAATATGCTATTCATTGATTTTACAGCTTCTAAATTTTATTAATAATTTTTAAAAATACATCCTGATTTTTTTCCTAGACCTTTTATGATTTCTTGTTTTACATTTGAGCCTTTGATGTGTTTGGCATTTTCCTGTTTGTCTGTCTGATGCAGTATATTAACCCCGCCTTGGCTTCTTCTAGACGTTCACTCAGTAGTCCTCACCCCATGTCTTCCTCTTCCTGTCACTCAGATCCATGTTGACTCCCTGCAGGGCCTCATCCATGTGGATGTTTGCTTTGATTTTATAAATCAGTTTATTTTACTTTGAGCTCATCTTTAGTGGACTCATATTTTCATTTGTGAGAATTCCAAAGATCCTAAATTTCGAATTTTCATTTGCTTCTCCCATGTTCTCAGAACCTCATCAGAGAAAGACAAGGGGAGTGCGTCCCCTCCCCATCAGTGGGGTCTCTTCTTGTGCTGCCTCGGAAGGCTGCAGCCCTCCACCGTCTTGGTCATGTCCTGGTTCTGCTTCCTTTCCTTGTGGCCACCCCGAGTCTCGTGTGCACACTGGAGCTTATGCCCGGCTCCTGGAAGAAAGGCCTCCGAAGGCTCCCACGGCTCAGTTTATGTCTTTACCTCTGTTTTAGGTTCCTCTTTCTTCCTAGTGCCTGGTGATTCCCTTTTTTTCCTCCTAATCACATTTACAGATTTTAAAGGATTGTTTTAAATTTCATCCAGTTTGGAACAGGAGCCCTTTAAAGTTACCTTATTGCTGGAGTCCGCTGTGTATTTTATACACAACCAAAATAACTTGTCCCCAGAATGGGCCGTTATTACAAGACCTTTGTGCAAGTCTGGGCTTTTGTGATTTTTGTTTAGATTTGTTTAAGACATGGTCTCACTATGTAGCCCAGGCTGGTGCCTTAGCCTCCCTGCTACCGTGATTACGGGCATGCTGCTCTTGTTTTTATTATCCTTGTTTTCCTCTGAAATAATCAGCTTTCCCTTCCAGCCTCTTCCCAGGTCATCACCACTATTACCCTTTAAATTCCAGGTTAGCTTATGAAACATTTTCAGCCTCCCCTGGCATCAGGTTCTCTTGTTCCACTAGTCTCATAATAACCCAACCAAGCAGAACACCCTGCATAGTAGCCCGTGGGTGCTTCTGATCTAAGCTGAGCTCACTGAAGCAATAGTTTCTGTGTCACTGATCTTACATCCTGATGCCTGGCAGTGTCTGCTACACAGGTTGATTTGGGTGGGTGGTCATTGGTTGACACAAGGAGCATTTGTCTGACTGCCCTGTTCTTACGAATTGCCCTAAAACAAGATTAATTTCTCAGGATGTCTTCTGCTTGAGTTATCACAGGAAAAACATGTTATAACTCCAGAATGCTAAGCCTTGTAGTTTATGCCTGGCTAATGGGTTGTTTGTTGTTGTGATTTTGTTTTTGTAGTAGAGGTTGGCTTCCGAACCACAGGGGAAGCTGCCGAGTAACACTGGTCATTTGGTTTGATGTTCAGTTTGGTTTGTTTTTTGCCATGTGGCGTATTTTTAGTTCATAGAGCTCAATATTCCTCTACTAACAGGTACAGTACACACACCCCCATAATGATGAGATGGTTTTACTGGTTATAAAAAGTTTAGTAGCAGGGATTTGGAGGTTAGGAAGATATACATTTTCTTCAAATAACATACAGTGCATCAAAGCTGTCTTCATAACAGTTCCCCAAAGCAAAGCTGACATCAATCCAGGAAATTGATTGATGGGCTGATATTATTTCACAGGCCCAAAAATGGAGAAGTGGGTGCTGAGCTGATGACTCATAGCAAACAACTCACATGGCAAGAGGAATCTGCAGGATTTCTTGTGGGGGCTGTGTAAAATGCAAACCTTGCCTGCCATGTGGTGACAATTCTTGTAGTGATTGGGTGACTAGAGGTTTCTGATGTTTGAAGCAAGTGCTACCAAGATGTCTTATCTTCCTGGAAACTTTAACCCAGGTGAGAAGCTGTACTAGGCGTGTCCAGTTTTACACACCCATCTCAGGACATGACAGCTCTCCTGTTACCGGAAAAAAATCCAGTTATTATTGATGACAACAGTGCAAATGTGTGGCTGTCTCAGTGCGAAAACCAAGAGGAGCAAAGGTAGAAATTTCAAGGAAACGAGTATCTATGTCTCTGCTCCAGCGTGCTTGGCCTCACTCCCTGGCAGAGTGGCACAGGTCCTTGGCTCTGGTTGCTTGGTGCCGGGCCCATTTCCACTCAGCTGCTCTCGACCCTACCTCAGAGCAGGCTGAGCAGGTCAGGGTGTTCTCTCCCTGAGGCCAGCGGCTGCTGGATGCCCACCTGCGTTCCAGCAGTCGGAGAAGGTCAGCATCTCAAAGGTTCCTGTGTTCTTTTCATCTCCCCTTCACATGTCCAGCTCTGTCATACACACAAAACAAGTACTACAGTGACATTTAAAGAAAATGAGCATTTCCAAACTTCTTTCAACCTTTTTATCCCTGTGCTTCTTGGAGTCTGTGCAAAACAACACTCCACCTTGGCTGCAGCCTTTGGGAGGGGCCTGGGGCTCTGGGAGCTGCTGTCTGCTCCTTGCGGGTTGAGTTAGCACATAACGTTTTGGTCACACTGTGTGGCAAGTGAGCTCTCCTGCTTGGATTTTTGACCTGAAATTCTAACAAACACGCAGGAGTTGGAAGCCGTCTTCATCGGGGCCCTTCCCTCCCGGGTCCCTTCTTTGTCTCCACACACACGCAGCCTTCCCTTCAGATTCAAGTCTGTTTGAGGTTGTTTTGGTACCAGGGATCGAACTCCGGACCTTGCACTTAAGAGGCAGGCCTGGTGCCTCTGAGCTACATCGCCAGTCCCCGTGTCAGCTTTATTTGGTCAGGTGGCCCAGTCACACAGGACTTGGAGCAGCTGTCCTGTGAAAGAAGCCGTAATGTGGCTTGATCTTTCAGGGAAAGTAATATCTTTCTAAGAAAACAGTATAGACTGCTTTTATTTTGTACCTGTTAATTTTTGTGTGTCCATATTACAGGGAAAGGTGTGGCTAATTGACTTTAATCCATTTGGTGAAGTCACAGATTCACTGCTGTTTACTTGGGAAGAACTGATATCCGAGAAAAACTTAAAAGGCGATTTTAGCGAAGGAGATGCTCAGGAGCAGGTAAGACATTTTTTAAAAAGATAAAAGGAACCTTTGTAACCCAGTGAAAATGGCTTGTTTGCTTGTTAGACACGGAGTGGGAGTGAGCCGACCCTCTGAGGGGGCGTGTGACACTGGTGCCCACAGGGTGGATTCCCGAGCTGGACGTTTGTATCAAAAAAGAAACCGCGGGTCCTGTTTCTAGTTCTCTCCTGTAGCTTCTGCCCCGGCCACCCCGAGCCCGGGTCGGTCCATGCTCTGTTCACTCAGACCTGAGCCTGCGCTCCGGGCACGGACAGAACGCTGCGTGCTCCTGCGCGGACAGGTTTGAGGTTCCGTGTTCCCCGTTCCGCGTTCCGCTTTCCTGGCGCGGCCCTGGCAGCATTCTCTTCCGTGGTCCACGTGCCCAGTGGCCCCCTCCTCCACCGTCTTCGGCGTCCCCTCTGGTCACGGCAGAGCCTCCACTGCCCTCGGGAAGGAGAATCCAGAGGGAAGTCAGGCAGCCGAGCCCTCATCAGCACTGCACACTGAGCCGCCCCTAAGCCTGACTTCCGCCCCTCGTGCGCCGTCCAGCCCTCTGCAGACAGCTGTGCAGTTTGCTCTTCTCTTCCCCTTTTGCCATCAGGGTGCAGCCTTGGTCAGATCCAGGCCATCTTTACAAAAGAACTTTCTTCAACCATATTTTTTTACATAGCTGTTCTCTCCTTTACCCCACCTTAACAACCAGCTTTTCTTTAAACCAAAATTTTGGCGGCTTTTCCTACCTATACAGGTAGTACATACTTCTTTGCAGTATTTATGGTTTGTTTTGTTTTGTTTCGAAGTCCAGGGCCTTCACACTTAGCTGTATCCGCAGCCCTTTTTCATTTTTTATTTTGAGGTAGGGTATTGCTAAATGCCCTGGGCAAGGCTCCAACCTGCAGTTAGTTCTCTTGCCTCAGCACCCCAGGATGCTGGGATTACAGGCGTGCATGAGCATGCCTGGCCTAATACATGCTTATTTTTAAAGAAAATTGTACAATCGCCTATAACCTGCCACCTGAGAACCACTGTTTATATTTTGGTATATAACATGCATGTACACATACATGCATGTAAACCTTTTTAAATACACAAGATTATGCTACAGTTGTATATCCATATTTTTTCTGGTGCTGGAATTAAACCTCAGGTCTCACCTGGGCTTGGCAAACACTGCCACTGTGCTATGCCCCACTCCAAGCCTTTACATCTTTTAAAATGTTTCAGTTTTACATAATAATCATGTAAGGAAACAAAGGGAGAATTAGAGACAGGACTTGAAATCCTGCCACCTAGAAAGGCCTAGTCACCCTTGCAGCTGGCGTGTCTGCGGGCCCTTTCTGGTGAACACGGCACGTGCTTCTACTCAAGTGGAGCCCTCACAGACCCTGCTGGTCCAGCCTGCTCCGTCGTCCCATGTCGCCACAGCCGGCTTCCGTGGACGCGTCTGCCTGTGCTGCCCGCCGCCTCCCGCCTGCTCAGCCCAAGCCTCGGGCGCAGTCCTTCCTCCCCCGGGCCTCCCCGTTCTCACAGCCTTCCTCCCTTGGCTCCGTCTGTCCGTCCCCCTGCTTTCTGGCTGCTGCTCCGCCTTCCTCGGGAGCGCCTTCCCTTTGCCCATCTGTTCGGAATTCGCTCAGCCTGACTCTGTCCTTGGCCCCTTCTCCAGCCAGACTCGGTTCTGCGTCCCCCCGTGTGGCGCTTGTTTAAGGTGCCTTCTGACAGGGACAGCGCCTCTCCTATGCACGTGCACCTGCGGAGTCCAGCGCAGAATCAGGCCCTCTCTGTGTTTGTTGCATTAAAAAGTGAAAGAATTTTATCCCCACTGGTGTCTTAGACTAGTGAGCCACAACCCTGAGGGACAGGGCCGGCAGGCCTGAGCTGCTCAGTGCAGGTGTTAAACATGAGGGACATGGTTATTGGGTACAAATCGTTTGTACAAGATTATCTCTGTGACCAAATCCTTTATTTACTTATTTCTTCTGAATATTAGAGGTTTGGGTTTGACAGGGAAAGAGGGACCGGTTCCTGATTGCTCCCCTAGCACTCCTCCTGCTCCTCTCCCGGGCCCAGGCC